TTGTTTTTTCTTCAAGTGACCATTTTCTTTATACTATCCCTTTTCATCATTGCGCTAAAATAAAACCGCATGTTGTTCATACATTAATTTTGAAATATTTGCTTATTTTGCTGAAAAGAAAACCTACCTTATCCCTTCTTGATCCTGGTCATCTCAGAGTACTGTATCTTCATTTATTGTGTAGCAAGCTTGCCAAGTACTTTGCTTGACATGACAAAATATGAAAGAGCAGGGTACTGATTGCCATTTTTCCTGCGTTGCTAGGGTAAACTTTTAGATAATTTGCCAAGAAGAAAATGCACGAGAATATTCTGGGCGTGTGCCCTTGATATTTTTCTCATGTCATATAAAACCAAAACTTCGAAGTTTACTGAACACGTTTTGAGTGAATCTCGTTATAATATATTCATGCTTACAACGAAATTTGTGTGATGTTCTACTTTATTTTGAATTGAAGAACTTTTCCAGCGTTTGAAAATTTATCAATTTTTATGCGGTGGGGTCTTGAGAGGTGGATATGATTACTTATCAAATCATGTTGATACAAGTATAATTTTCTGTTGGAACATCCGCATGCTACTGCCATCCTATGTTGTTTGGTTGTTAATAAAATACTGTGGATTTCTTTCCAATCTCAGATGTCCCTGTGAACTTCAATTGTTCTTTCCTGTATCTGATCCATTAGGTACAACTTTTAACTTGAGAAGATTTGTTTTTATTGCCAGAAATGTTGTAAATGATTTTGACTTCTCTATACAAATGTTTGGGTGGATACATATTTCAGGAACATATGGACCATTTCAGAGCTCAGACCAGCAATGAGTAAAACTGACATGTACACAAGCATTTTTATAGATTTGAAGCCTCTTGCAAAAGGCTGATGACTGTGCATGAACAGAAATGAAACTGGGGTATCTGGAAAGGGGAATGACTGGTGACCAGACAGGATGATGAAATGCATTCTTTGCAATGCAGTTGCTATGCAGACACCAAATGTTGAAACCATGCACTAGAATGGGGTATTCTTGATGTGTTTCAGGACACACTAAAGCAAATCATATTACAATACTGTTTAATGTGTTTGATTTTTTTTTTCAATGAGAAGTGTTGGGCACTTCTAATGAATTTCCATGAATTCCTAATATTAAAATTTGGAATTTTTCTTCTCTTGTTTTTGTTTTTTTTGGCAGCATGGGGAATCCTTGCTTAATTTGAAAGGGCGAATTGGCGGGGATGGTGACCTGTCACCACGTGGACAGCACTACGCCCAGGCCCTGTCTGACTACATCAAGTCGCAGAACATTCCCAATTTGCGCGTCTGGACATCGTGGCTGAAACGCACAATTCAGACAGCCTCAACCATTGATGCCCCTCAGGAACGCTGGAAGGCTCTCAATGAGATTGATGCTGTGAGAAAAATTTTGGTTTCATTCTTTTTTTTTTTTCATAGTAGTCGGAATTTAAAGAGTCAAAATTCCTGCCTGAGGGAAAGAAACTTTCATTTTTCTGTACTGTACAGTGCATCGCCGAATGTCTCTGACTCCGAGATTTATTTTGTTCTCGCGTAGGTGTCGCCTGAGTCGGATTACCTCTAGCTTGGTTTGTGTATACAGTATATACAGTACTGTCAGTGTGTGTATATAAAAAAACAGATAAGTCTCACTAAGGCAAACTCACTCAACGTCCCTGGAAGTTAATTTTGCTTTGATGGCGAATTAGTTGTTTTGGAAACCAACTGATGATTTAACTTGATGAGCTTTTTTTTTCTTCTTCTGAAGATTCACAAATGGAGTTGGATTTCTTTTTTAATCATTTATAAAAGCTGCACTCATGATGATAAATTTTGTGTAAAACCCTGATGGTAAACATTGTTAATTTTCAATATTTCCTAGCTTCATTTGGCCAAATTTCATAATCTCCATCAGTTTGTTTTTATCCGCGACATTAGATGCAGTCCGTTACAGAATTGTGGAGAATAATTCCTTCAAAATTATCAACGGTTGACTCTTCCTGCAACGAAAATATTTGTTTTAGAGAGTACTTTCGTTGTGCGAAAATCCCAAAAACGTGGGAAAGAACCCCATGAAATCACAAAAAATTCGGTTTACTGGGAACTTTTTTTTTGACAATATTGTTTTAGAGAGAGTGAACTTTTACAAACTAAAATAATTATGTACATATCTTCCGTTCTAGTTGGAGGACTTTTTTCTTTTGAAGAATCGCGGGTGCAGATATTTCTTATTATTTTATCCACAAATATTTATAAATTTTCCACGGCATCGGATTTTTGCAGGGCATCTGCGAGGAGATGACTTATGAGGAGATCCAGGAGCTGCATCCCGAGGAGTTCGCCGCGCGGGACGAGGACAAATTCCACTATCGTTATCCACGTGGCGAGGTTTGTTTTTTCCCCCTCTTTTATACTGTGGTTTCTTTCCTTCTTGTAGACTTAATACAGTACTACTGTACGCTATTATATACCTATATAGAGTATAGTTTAGTATATGGCTTGTGCGTCGCCTATAGCTGTCGAGACTGTGAAGGCATAAACATTCGAGATTAAGTTTCATACAGGGTGGCCCACAATGATTTAGATTAGACGGACCGTTTTCTTTGAAAGTTGATTTTGAATCCCTTGCAGTGAATTTCTGTATAATGTGAGACTCGCACGAATGAAAAAAAAAAAGCATTCGAAAATTCGTAGGCGGAAATAACTTGACTCACATGAAAAATCGTTTCACTTGACAAAATTTATGTTTTCCAGCCAAAAAATAAAAATAAATTCCAAGTTTCAGGCGAAAATTTGAAAAATACTGTATTCCGAAAAATTCGAGGCTTTTTTCTTGTTGAAGGAAGTTAATTTTCTAATATAAGGGCCATTTGAAATTCTTCTGCCAGATTTTGAAAAAAAATATGGGAAAGCTTCATAAAATGACTTCAATTTTAGAGAAAAACTGCTTGAGGAACTCAATTTGTTAATTAGGACCATTTGAACTTCTTCGGCCAAATATTGAAAACCCGTGTGGAGTCTCATCAGATGAATTTAATTTTCAAGAAACGCTGCTTTGGATAAGAAAACATATGTTCTTTTGAATCAGATTGGATACACCATCATTTTAATTTTTAAATTGGTTATAAGTTTCAAAAAAAAAATTTATGGTCTGGTGATTTCTGGCTGGATTATTGTTATGATGTTGATGTTTTTGAAATGATTTTATAATTTTTACCTGCATTTAAAAAATACTTCTGTGAGAAATTCGGCTCGGAATTTTTCTGTGCCACCCTGTACAGCAGGTATTTGGCATTTATTTTTTTTTGTTGCTCTTCAGTCCTACGAGGATCTGGTCGGGCGTCTGGAACCAGTCATCATGGAATTGGAACGACAGGAGAACGTGCTTGTCATTGGACACCAAGCCGTTTTGCGCTGTTTGCTTGCATACTTCCTGGAAAAAAGCGCAGGTGTGTGTTATTTTTCCAAGTCTTCTTTCGCTTCATTTTTCAATTTATTTTTTTTGGCGCTAAGGACGAATTTGTCAAGTAATATCGAATTTGCGTCGTGGGGGGAATCACCGTACTTGTTTTAGATTTGGAGCAGCTGCTGCAGGAAAAATAAATGAACTAAGTATAGTGGAATACTGCTGATATTTATCACAGCCATTTTATTTTATTCAAACTACTGTATCTGTAACAAGTTGAAGTAGTGATTTTGTATTTTTTTCCAGGCTGTTTTGAAAAGTTTTTTGTTCACAGAGATCCTCGGGTAAATTATTCTGAGACGCGTAAGGTCTGCATTATTTGAGGTTCAAAAGTGCGGTATATCTTGATTATCTGACCTGTATGGCTTATTTTTTACATCATGTTATATCTCTTCGAAAAAATGGATTTTAGTCCAGGATAAATATTTTCCTGGGCTCCATGAAGCCTCAGAACAAGGAAAAGCCAAATGAAGAAGGGTAATGTTGACCGGTTTTCCCCAACCTCTGGTCCACAGACCAGTGCTGGTCTGCAAAAGTTTTTTTGAAAGTCCACAGGAAATTTTCTTCAGCAAAATTAATGTACCAAAAGTAAATGAAGTTTGTTCTTTATCTGAAATTTTGGAAGACCATATATTTTGCAAGTCCACGGTAAATTTTCTTCAGCAGAATAAATGTATCAAAAGTAGCTGTGAAGTTTGTTATCTTCATCTGAAATTTTTGAAGACAATATATGGCAGTTGGCATTATCTGATGAAAAATGAGAGTTGGCTTTTCTCCCAATAACTCTTCAGAAAACTTGTCACCTGCTGAAATGAATTCCCCAATTTTGATTTTTCAATTTGAGCAAACTTCCTGCAAGTCCCCACCCCCCTTATTTCTATAATCTTTTGAAGACATTCCACTAAAGCTGCTTCAATGGTTCTTAACTTCATTTTAGCAAAAAAGCAGAAAATTTTTTAAATACCTGCCAAGAAGTCTTTCAAAAAAACGTTTCTAAGTCTCCAAGAATTGTATGAAACTTATCTATGGCCTGTAGACAAATTTTTGACCCTGAAAAAGTCTTGTCCGAATTTGCTGGAGACCTAAAACTGATGCAGATACAGTTGGGCATCTTGAGTTAGATGGATTGCGGCGCTTGCTTTCTTGTGGGACCTCACCAAGGACTTCCTTGCACCTGTGCAGAAATTGAAAAGTTTTCAATGAAAAAGCGCACTCCGAATCCCATATTTGAAGTCAATGATGGACAAGATAGCATCGTTGGTTCAGTGGTAGAATGCTCGCCTGCCACGCGGGCGGCCCGGGTTCGATTCCCGGACGATGCAATTCATTTTGCTCAATTCACTCACAACGTATCAGATAACGTGACGCGCTTGCCTTATAAAAAAAAACACACAGACGAAGATGCAAATCATGACATCATGCATGAAAGACAAGTGTTTTCGTTCTGTGTTTTGCAGATGAGCTGCCCTACATCAAGGTGCCTTTGCACACTGTCATCAAGCTGAGTCCCGTCGCCTACGGTTGCCGCCTCGAGTTCATCCCGCTCAACATCGACGCCGTGGACACGCATCGCGCCAAGCCTATCGTAAGTCCTGTCGAACTCACGTCCAACGACGCTCGGGACGCCGTTCGCGACGGCGTCCGTCTTCACCACCTACAACAACAAGAGCAAACTCCCCTTGAACAAGCATCTGATTGATCCAAAAAAACAAAACAAATCTACGTATCCCTTCAATATGCTATATATTTCTTCTCGTAGAATTTAAAAATAAAAAATATAACAAATAAAAACATACAGAGGAAATCGCTTTCGAAAAATATCACACGGGGTGAAGGACTTACTTGAGGATTGGGGTTTAAGAAAAAAAAATTGCTTTTGCATGAATGCCGTCATGGTTTTCTTTTTTTCTTCGCATCTATACGTCAATAGGGGTGTCCAACCAAATTTCGCCTATGAAATATTTCCTCAGAGATTCCTTGTTTGAAAAACTGATTTTTTTTCGTACCCCATCCCGTTTTTTTTTCGCTTGATAAAATGGCATTAATTTAACATATGCAGCGAAGAAAATTTGGAAAATTACATTGGGTGAAGGGACCATTATTTTAGGTATACAGTATCGGGAAAATGCTTCTTCAGTATTCCGTTCAATTTATTTATTTTAATTAATTGGATAATATAACTTGTATACCATTGATGCCATGCATAGCTGCACGATGTTGGACACCCCTGCTTCAAAAGATAAATTCAGGTTTTGGTTTCCTCCCCTTTTTAAATTTCTTTAAAAGCGCAAGTAAAATGAATCAAGCCTACTTATTGTAGATAAAAATGGGGGAAAAATCACCTGTCAAAAACGTTTCCCGAAAATTGAATCCCTTTTGTTGGTACTGAAAGTACTGAACAGTACTGCTGTATAGCTTGAAGGTCACGTTTCGTTGGATATTTCCTGCTTGAGGAATAATATTTAAAAGCTCGGCGAACAAATGCTTTCAGTACTAGGAAAATCTCCTGGTATACCTTGAAAAATTGCCATTTTTTGCCATGTTTTTGAATTAGAAACTTTGAACACCATTCCATTTCAATCAATTGTTGCATTACTTTTGGGTTTATATACGAAGTACAAGGCTCTAGATAATGCTTTACAATGGCGTTTGCCTGGTGAAAGGGCTCATATATTTTGCTGCATGTTCGAGGCGGGCTAGAAATTCATAGAAAATACTGGGTGTTTAAAAAAAAAAAGACTGAATTTGAAGAAATAAAACGAGGCAATTGTGTTTTTGACAGGCGACTAATTTAAAACTGTGAAGCGAATTAAAGTGGAGATTTCTTATTGCGAAAATTTGAGCGTTTCACAAATTTTTGTATATTTTTTTAATAATTTTTAATTCTGGAATTGAATACGTTCCACGAATTTTCTGAAGTTTGATTCGAATTTCTTAAGCTATTTTCGTAGAGCAGATTTTTTTTTTCAATTTTGGAGATGATTTGAAAAGTAATATTCTGGACTATAGTTGGTCAAGAAGGGAAATTCAGCAACCCGTAGCTTTCAAAACTGAAGTAAAATTACTGTACTTCCAAAATATCATATTGTATTATTTCATATTAATTTGTAATTTCATAGTAATATGATGATTCAATATTTATGTTCACATATGAATCCTGTGCATGCTTTTGTGACACCCTGTATTTTGATGCGGCTTCAGTAGCACTACTGGTATTAGTGAAAATCGGTTGACTCAGACGAAGACGTTTTGATATTTTCTTTGAAGAAAAGGCGACTTTTGGGGAAATTTTGTGTCAAAATTCGGTTTCTGAATCAGACACAAAGACCACTTTTTTATATTTTAGCTATTTTCGAGAAAAAATGTGGGCCACACTTGTGAAACCAGGTCTTCCAACACACATGCCTTGAATATTTGTGATTTCGTCATTCAAATCTAATGAAGTAAATTTACAGTTTGTTTGTGATTGAGATATGATAGAACGAGAAAGCTTCCAACATTTTGCGTGATGCTGTTCAAGCTTAACAAAAATTGTATTGTTATTTTTTTTAATTCGTTCAAAACGTGATTGTTCGAGGCATTCTTTTGTTTTTCGAAAAATTATTTCGTTTTTCTATGAGAAAAATCTCGACTCCAGAAGACTTCAGAAACGCGAATGGGGTGAGAAAGCAATTTAATTCAGGAAATATTTTGTTCATCGTTTCGAAAACTTTTATTTATACTTGGGCATTATACTTTTTGAACACAATAGATTTTTTTCTGGCATATGGTTGGTTTTCGAGCGACATACTTTAATTAAGAAACCTCATGAAAATGATCAGGATGAGGTCGTAATCTTTGTTGTCCAGAATGTTTAGAAAATTTCGCTCAAAAGTCATGGTTATTTGCATATTGTTTGTGGTAACCTTGAAGAAATTTGTTTGGTCTAATTTCTGTAATGCTGCACATGTTTGTATGTATAATACAGTGGATATGTGATTTTGTTTTGTTGCGTGGTCGCCAGAGGGCCTCGACACTTGAATGCAGAATAATTTCTGCAGCTGAAAATCTGTGGAGTTTTTTTTTGTTGTTGAGAAAAAAATTAAAACGCTTGAAGACTATTGCATAGAAGGGAAACGTCTGAAGTCGGCATGATGAGGAAAAAAATTGTGCGAGAGAAGGATTTTTACATTTTCTGAATCAGTATTTATATCTTCGAAGTTTTCTGCCAACGTCTCAAATCGGAACAATTACTGTATACTGTATTATTACTGTAATGAATTTATTCCTTTGCTGAGATTTTCGTTTTTCTTGAAATTTTGCTCTGTAAACTTTCTTGACGCAAAAATCCAAAATTATTTTTCAGCGTATACAAATGTCAAATTTATTTTTAAAAACGGTATGTCTAAAAGTCATGGTTATTTGCATATTGTTTGTGGTAACCTTGAAGAAATTTGTTTGGTCTAATTTCTGTAATGCTGCACATGTTTGTATGTATAATACAGTGGATATGTGATTTTGTTTTGTTGCGTGGCCGCCAGAGGGCCTCGACACTTGAATGCAGAATAATTTCTGCAGCTGAAAATCTGTGGAGTTTTTTTTTTTTGTTGAGAAAAGAATTAAAACGCTTGAAGACTATTGCATAGAAGGGAAACGTCTGAACTCGGCATGATGAGAAAAAAAATTGTGCGAGAGAAGAATTTTTTAAATTTTATGAATCAGAAATTATATCTTTAAAGTTTTCTGACAATTAACGTCTCAAATCAGAACAATTACTGTATACTGTATTTTTACTGTAATATTAAATAAGGAAACGACTCTAAAAGCAAAAAGAACTTTAAAACGAGACATTTGAAAGAACTGCGTTTTTAGGTTTTAATAAAAAGTCGCATATGTTTACAGTTTAAATAAAAATTTTTGCCATACAGCAATAAAAATTATTTAATAAAGAACTGTATTTTAAAATATTAAGCTAATGAAAATAATTCATTCGGGAGAAGAACTAGTTATTTAGCTTTAATTTTTTCATGTATGTATTTATTATTTTATGTATTCATTCATTTTTTTGCGAGGTACTGTACCTGGCATGTAATGTAACATTCCTTATAAATGAAATTATCAACAGCTGATTCCGTGTAAAAAAAAAATTTCCCACGCTTTCCAAAACCTCAGGGATTTTCATTTGCGAAACTAAAAGTTTTCCATCTTCATAAAGATCTAAATTGCTAGAAAGTCATGCAGGAAGAAAAATGTATTCGATCGGCAGAAAATCCTCGTCAAACTTGAAATGCTTCTTGGAACTTTTTTCCCCATCGGAAGTTTCGCTTTTCCGGAAATTGGAAGTCTCAGAAAAATGTAGTGCAGTATACTGTAGTACCATGAGGCTTTCAATGATTAATCGGACTACGTCGGGTTCTGCAAAAAAATGTCCATTTCATACTGTATGATGAGGGACTGGGAATCAGTGAGATTTCTAACCATATTGAGAGGAGAAGAAAAAAGGGAGAAATTAATGCGATATTTGCAAAAAACCCTACTGAAGACCCCTGACTTTTATGTCATGAATACCTTCTAGGACCTTTGCTGCTTCTTTATTATTTGGTTCCTTGTTAGTTAACAATATGCAAAAGAAGGTTCTAGTTACATGACATTAATATTTTTTTTTGCTGATACTGTACCCTCTTTTTTTTTCTCATCGAGGAAATCTAAGGTCGATGTAATTTTTTCATCATTCGTAAACTGATTTGGTTCTGTTTTTCATCTGTCCGAGGTTCAAGAGGAAAAGACTTTGAGTTAAGGAGGTTTCTAGAGCATTGTTTCCAAGGGAATTCAGAGGGGGGCTATTAAAATAATTTGACTTAGGGGTGTTTGATCAAGGTTCAAGTGTACTTCCTTTCAAAAAGCATCAAGTTAGATTTTTATTGCTTTGCTCTTGACTGTGTCAATAAAACAATATATTAAAAACCCCTTAGAATTGGAGTTATGGACGTTTCAGGAGGAAAGCCATCGATTTTAGGTGTTTTCTTTTATCAATTTTTTTTAGGGAAATTTAGTCAGGGACTTGAAAAATTTAGAGAAATGGAGGTTTGATTTATCTCAACTGCATTTAATTCTTAATGCAGTTGAACCTGGATAAATCGAACCTCCCTTTTTCAAATTTTTAGAAAAAATTATCGGAATACTGTTATAGATATCTATTTTAGAAAATATTTTGACTAAACAGCATTTTGATAATTTATTCATAATTATCAACACGCTCTACGACATCTTTGCTGAGGATGGGTTCGCTTTTGAATCGGGAGACTTGTGCGATGAAACCTTTTGTTTTTTTAACGATCCAATAAGAAACGCGGCGCCGCGTTGAAAAAAAAAATTTCTTCGCATATTTGAAAAAAAAAAAAAAAAACAAAAAAAAACAGGGGTTTTTGGGATGACTTCTGGGGACTGAAAATACAGTACTTATGGAAGATCCTGGAAACGACGAAGAAATAATAAACCAAGGAACAATCAATTGTTATACGTTTTCTTCCAAGATCAATGTACTGTAATTGTTTTTTTTTTTGCTGATACTGTACCCTCTTTTTTTTCTCATCGAGGAAATCTAAGTCGATGTAATTTTTTCATCATTCGTAAACTGATTTTGTTCTGTTGTTCATTTGTTGGAGGTTCAAGAGGAAAAGACTTCGAGTTAAAGAGATTTTTAGAGCATTAGTTCTAAGGGAATTCAAAGGAGGGACTTCAAAAAAAATTTAATTTAGGGGTTTTCGATCAAGGTTCAAGTGTACTTCCTTTCAAAAAGCATCAAGTTACATTTTCTATTGCTTTTCTCTTGTCTGTTTCAATAAAATAATATAAAACCCCTTAGAATTGCAGTTATGGACGTTTGAGGAGAAAAGCCATCGAGTTTAGGTGTTTTCTTTTATCAATTGTTTCTAGGGAAATTTAGTCAGGGACTCGAAACATTTAGAGAAATGGAGGTTCAATTTACCCAGGTTCAACTGCATTATTAATTAAATGCAGTTGAGATAAATCGAACCTCCATTTCTCTGAATTTTTATTCTAATTTTTTAGAAAAAAAATTCTAATTTTTCTGGTATTCTAACCACTAATGGTATTCTAATTTTTTTTTAATTTTTTTTTTTGAAAAAGGGAGGTTCGATTTATCCAGGTTCAACTGCATTATAAATTAAATGCAGTTGAGATAAATCGAACCTCCCTTTTTCAAATTTTAAGAATACATTATCGGAATACTGTTAGATATCTATTTTAGAAAATATTTTGATTAAACAGCATTTTGATAATTTATTCATAATTATCAACTCTCTCTTCGACATATTTGCTGAGGATGGGTTCGCGTGTGAATCGCGAGACTTGTGCGATGAAATCTTTTTTTTTGGCGATCCAATAAGAAACGCGGCGCCGCGTTGAAAAAAAATTTCTTCGCATTTTTTCAAATAAACAACAACAAAAAACGAAAAATGCCTGGGGAACCGCAATTCTGTCGTGGATAACGAGGGCATTCTCAAAACAACCACGAACCAGCAGCATCAAGCGTCGGAAACAGCAAAAAAACAAAAACCAAAAAATTCATTGGGGGCGGCATTCGCAGGTGTCCGGAACGCTGGAAGATCGGTTCCGCGGGTTATTGGCTCGCGGGTTCGACGAAACTGAAGAGCCAGCAGCTCCAGACAGCAGTGGCGGTGGTGGTGGTGGTAGGGACGCCTACTGGGGCATGTCCACTGCTGCTGCTGCTGCTGCTGCCACCTCCGTTGCACCTGCTGCTGGTGCTGGTGCAGGTGGCGGCCGTCGGTCCTCGTGTCCGAATTGCGCCAATCAGCCAGTAGCCAGCACTGCTGTAGTTGCTGCTGCTGCTGCTGCTGCTGCTGGCCGAGGAGGAGTAGGATCCAACTCGGCCGCCTCTAGCAACACTGATGAGGACGACCCCGACGACGACCGAGACGATGATGGTGACGGTGATGACGACGACTCGTCGGTGTTCGCGAATGACGACGATGGCGGCGCCGAAGGCGTCATCGTGGCGTCCGTGGCGGACGCCACGACGACGACGACGACGAATGAGACCCGACTCCTCGCGGTTTCGTGATGATGAGAAGAAGTTGACTATTAATTTACCCCAGTTACCGTGTTTGAAGGTAGGCGACTGTCGAATAGGCTGCGTGCGGATACCGTATTTAGGCGCTTATAGGCCGCATTTTCAGGTTGCGGCCTAAATTTTAAATTTCCGCGTTATATCTAGGCCACACACCACCCTTAAGCTGGTATTCTGTACTTGATATTTGCGTATAGGCCGCTCTTTTCCCGGAAAACTTTAATGTAACATGCTTGCGTCTGGCCTTCGTCCAAAATTCTCCTAAATAGGCCGCATCCTAGCATCTTGCAAGATAAACTGGCAGCAATGTTGAATACTGTACAAATAAAGCCTCATTTAGAGTTTGAAAACTTAATTTACCGTAATATACTTTGGTACGGCCTATTTACAGAATATTCGCGAATAGGCCGCATCCTATTATTTGGCACGACAAACTGGTAGCAATGTTGAATACAAAGAAACCCTCATTTTGAGTTTTAAAATGTAATCTAATATGCTTAGGTGCGGCCTATGTTTAGGATATTTGCGAATAGGCCGCATTCTAGCATCTTGCAGGACAAACTGGCAGCAATACTGAATACAAATGAAGGCTCCTTTTGAGATTGAAATTTAGCTAAATATTGTGCCCTGATCATCAATATAAATCCGAAGTTCTTGTATTTGAAATTCAGCTCAATTCTAGAACAAAATATGTACTTAAATCTTTTGGGTTTATTTAGTCATTTCTGCCATTTCTCTTGAAAATCTGGGGTCTACTTGGCTTTATTAGAGCGCGTGAAAGCTGTATTCGCATTTTATGCGAACTACTAATTTCGCTTGGAAGCTGAAGGGTATAGGCCGCAAAGGAAGGGTCAGCTAGTTTGTCGATAAGAAGATGTGGCCTATGCGTGAATGACTAATGGACTTTGATTCGATCCACGAAATTCAACAAATATATTCTCACTTCTTTTTGCTCTGATACCAAAAGTCAGCAGGTTGCCAACAGAAAAAAAGATTATTTATTAATTTTTTGTTCCTCATTTTCGAACTTCGAAAATTCACTCGCTTCGTCGTTTGAATCCAAGTCAGCAGAAGCGTGAGCCGATATCCGGAACACAGAATTAATGTTATCCGGAACACAACCCAGAATGAATGATCTTTTTCCGTTCTGTACGTGCGGCCTATAAATACGCGAATATCTTTTATACCATACCAGCTTTTTTCAGCGTATAGTATTGAATAGGAAAGTGCGGCCTATAATCCACAAAATACGGTACCCCTCGTTTGGGACCCTGGGTATAATGGGTACTGTATTTCCTTTTGGGGATCGCGAATACAAGTGACAACTTCTGCTTCCGGGATTTAAAGAGCTCAGCGAGATAGGAACTCTTTTTCTATTTCATTTATGATGTGTAAATTTAACCCCCCCCCCCCCCCCAGGAAATGCTAATTATTTTAAATCTTGAGTATAATCTCAAGTATAATTGACTTTCATCCGAGACTTGGCTAATTATCAGAATTTTTAAAATTTGGGATTGGTTATGGTTTTTATTATAAATATGAACCATAAAATCGCTGCATCCATTTAGTCATGGATTTTTGAAATTTTTTCATCGATTTTTTTCATATTTCTTCCTTTAGTATTATGAAGAAAAATAAAGCCGATTTTTGAGTCGGCTTTATGATGGCTGAAAAATGCAGTTCTCAGAAGGAAAAAACAATCTGCAACCAGCACGTACAGGATTCTAGATATTCTTCCGAACTCATAATTTAACTTCGTGGTTTTTTGTCTATGACTCTATTTTTTTTTTTTTTTACAAAATCCCTGTCCTAGAACTGCAGGGCAAAATTGTACCATGATCTGAGCGTGCATACTGCTTGAGAAAATGAATTCCTGAACTCGCTCGAGGGTTTCCGGAAGCGGGAGACATCTATTTGAACAGTTGACGTGATGTTGATACCAAGAGTGACTAGGTGTCGCTTGCACCCACTCGGGATAGAAGAATGACCCGACACGCGTTCGCTTATTTGCTGCTTATCCTGCTGCTTCTAGATTACATTGGGAAGCTTTGTTGGTGATTGTAGCACATGATAGTTTTTTTTGTTGCGTTTTTCTTTTCAAATACTGAATGATTGTGCTGTTGAGGCAGAATGCATCAATTCGGGAAAACAATGGATCTTGGGAGCCAAAAGCAAGTGATGGTATATTTTCTTTTTTTTTTTGGTTTTGTGAGGATTTTTAAAATGTGAATGCTCGAAAGGAAAACAAATTTGGAGTGATAGTCTGTGGTGATATCTCGACACGACGTTCGCATAAAATTCACTTCCTCCCGACAGGTTTTCACTTCCTGCTTCCGATTTTATGCCCTCATCGTTGCTTCCTGTATATAGGTGTTAAAAAAAATATACGTGTATAATGTATATTTGTTTCGTGTCTTTCATCAATTCAGGAATTTCCAGCATTTCTCCTAATCATTTCGGTAGGGAAATCCTTTCGAGAAGGTCACAATGAGAATTCCGCCCTGTGTCTTTCGTCTTTAGAAATTAAACAGGTGCGTCTGGTGAATTTTGTCCTGTTTGTCAAAGAGGTTTTTTTTCTTTCTGCGGGTTCCCAAGAGACAAGTGCTAATTTCATTCTGTGTTCTTTGTTTGAGTGACGAGGCCATTCCGAAGAAAGGACATTTATTTTGTCAGAAATCTGAGATTGTGACGAAAGGGGAACATTTTTTGTGAGTGCTGACGAGGGGTGCGAGTTGATGCTTGGTATTTTTGACGAACTTTTTTTTTCAAATTTATTGGTGGCAGTTATACATAAGCGGAAGGAAATTGTTTAATGAATCATCTTCTGTGACTGGGGTTTGAATAAATGTGTGTTCTACTGGGGATTAGAAAATTATTCCCTGGAACAAAAGCCATTTGTTTTCATTTCTTTGTACTGTATCCTGGAAAGAATTTAAAAATTGAAGAACCTTCAAGGGGCATCATATAATCATGATAAACAAGCCAAGTTTCAATAATATTGGCTTTAAATTTTTTTTAAATAATGTTCAACTTTTTTTTATCATCAATGGATGCAGTTTATATATTCTCAACATTCTATACTTATATTTAAGTACAATATTATATTCAACTACAGTATATTTATGGATAATATTGGTAATTTTAATGTATGTGTATGACATTCTAAATGTTTTTGCACTATGTGTAACTATGAAATTAAGGCATCTAATCTTCTATGTAACTTTGTCTTTACAGCATTATTACATGTTGAGATGTATTGTGTTTATTAAATGTGACCTTACATACTTCTTCAAAATCTGAAATTATTCATTCAATATGGCAACTTGTATATTACAATTAAAAAGTTTGTATTGCATGTAATCATGTGAAAATCCATCTATAAGTGCCTGAATTTAATCAATAGCTTGTCCCAAGTATCCCAACTTGATTGGAAAGGATATTGGAATTTTTCATCATGAGTGTCTATGAATGCTCAATTTATGCATGGAATTCAGGATTAAGTTTGCTGAGACATTTTTTTTATGCCTGACAACTAACTCATGATAAGATGCAAACAAAGGACTTGAACACACAACTGCTGGGGAAATATATGGATGCAGAGTTTTCTGTAAACAGGTGATCATTATGTTGCGAAAGATTCTTTGTAAGCACTTCTTGACTAATTAATTAGGACACATGAATGTGTCCTCCTGCAGACTTATTACAAAAGTTCGCTTTGAGATGTGTACCTTGTACAGTTCTGCACAAATATAAGTACTGTAATTTGAAGCAAATGATGAGCAATTTCTTGTCATCTAGCTCTAAATGCCTTGTGCATAGCTAACATTGTATATAACTGTATGCTGTTTTTCAGGATGTGTATGTTTCTTTGGTGCACACTTTGTATGGCTGTTTCTGGACTGATTGCATGAAACTGTGATTGGCATGCTGAAAATACCCAACTTTTGATGCCGCATTCTCAGTCTGAGCTTAATGCGCTTGGTTTTATTTCATAACTGAAAATTCATAAGAATGGGAATTTCATATGTTATCATGCAAGTATGCCGGGGATATGATGAGAAGTTGTGTAATCTCTTATTCTCACTTTGAAGTATCAGGAACTACTAATGGCGAATTTGAATTTAAATTTTGATTTGCTACTCATAGGTATGTGTCAAGGTTAAATCCTGATATTCCTGAAGCATTAGACCATTTTTGAATTTAAATTTATTTTCCATTGACAAAAAATTGAGAACATCAGCCATGAATCCAGTGACAGTGTCAAGTTTTCAAAATACTTTATGATGAAATTAATGGGAGAACTAAATTATGCAACGTTTCCCTCGCTGGGCAAATAAATATGAAGGCAGACTCCAAATATTGAACAGCTGATCAAAGTTCATGAATCACTGATGCAAAAACAAAAACAAAAAAAAACTGATGAGAGAAAATCACTCCATATAAGGCCTCCCCCAATGAATACGTGAACCAATCTTTTGCAAAATCCTCAAAAAAATGACACAATTTGAAATTTGCCACACCTTTTTCTTCAAACAATGACGAATGGAAGAGACGAAGGGACTGGCGGGTTTTTTGTTTTTCTTCTCCATTTTGTGTTGCAGCAAACGGGGCGAAGCAGGAGCACAGAGGAGGCGTTGGAAACGGTGCCGCTTCATTTCTGAATTCTGAGACACACACACAAAAAAAAGGAGAAAAGAAAATCAGTTTCTCTCTCATCCGTACTTTCATCCCTCCCTTATCCCCCGGACGGACGATATCGAGCCAACGTGTCCAGCGGAACATCCCTCCGGCAGGACAGAAAATGAGTCGTCTCGTCGTAGTGGTTCCATATATATATATATTTTGTTATCCCGGATTTTAAAAAAAATACTGTAGTCAAAAAGGAGCGAGATTAAAAAAAAAAAACAAGACCGCAGTAGAAAAAGAGCGTTGCAGACCTTTTTTTGTGGTTATTTTTGTGTTCCTAATGAGCGTTGACCCGTTTTCCGAAGCGCCTTCTCGCAAACTCCGTCATCGTCGTTGCTGTTCAACTCTTCTGCTTGTGCTGCTGATGGACAATTATGTTTACATAATTGTCCGTGTCCTACCTTTTTTATAAAGCAAGTGCACAAAAGAGCGGGTGCACAAAAGAGCGGGCGCACAAAGGAGCGAATGCACAAAGTAGCGACTACACAAAAGAGCGAGTGCTCACGTAGATGATATTAAACATAATCAAGTTAATCTCAAATAACCAGACCTGAAAAAATATGCTTGATTTGATCTGCAGAAGGGAAAATGATCCATCTCATGCCTAATAAACTCAACCTGTCCTAATGAACATGGCCTCCCCTTTCTAAGAATATCCTGATTTACCTGACATGCCCTATTCAAGCCCAATGTAACATGTCATCTTTAGCTTGGCCAACTTTATCTCAGCCCAAAATGAGCAAAATATATTTTCTTAATTTGACTTGACATGTCCTGCGCCAAGGTAGCCCTACCTAACATGAACCTGACAAGTAAACTTAACTTGTCCTAATTAATCTGACCAACCTGCACTAGGTAACCCTCATGTACTTGTCCTGATCAGGAACCTGGCCTGCCTAATGCAAGCCTAACCTGATTCAAACAGGCGAATCTATTAATATCCTGCCCTGCCTTACATGCAGAACTAACCTGATCTGAGGCAAATATGTGAGGATAAGTTGTCTTAAATTCTTGGCCCAAGCCTAATAAATATTAATGTAATCTATTGTGATTTGCTTGACCTACTTCATGCAAACATGAAATAAATTTCCCTAATTAATCTGGCTTAAAATTTGTAAGCCTAACCTTATACCTAACTTAATTCAAATGATAAATCCTAATCTGCTGTTGACCCTGCATGTAAAGTAGGACACCATGGCTTGTGCCTTATTGTAGCCTAATTTTGACCTATTCTAAGTCATTCTTGCATGTTCTGCATAAACCAAAATTCAGCTATAATGTAAATCTTATGACTTTGGAGACTTGCTCTTTTGTTCATTTGTTCTTGTGAGATTTTTTGTGGTTGCACTGTGTTGAGCCTTGCTTTTTTGATGTGCTACACTTGATTCATTTTCCATGCCATCAATTTCTTAACTGTCTTCGTCTTCTCGTCCTTACTTTCGTCGGTGCTTTGAAGAAGAAATGCCCGATTGAAATAAGAAAATGTCCCAATTTGACAAATATGATGGGAGTAGGCGATTTATTGTTCCCTTTTGAGCATTGCTTTTTGTCGCTTATTTTTGAGTCACTGATGCTTGAAATAATTTCCATTACTGGAAATTTCAGTTCATGCTAGTTTTGTGTGTGTTTTCTTCGGTTCTTTTGTTTTTAAGGAATGGGATTTATTGTTTATTCATTCATTTTTGGGATTGAGGAGCTTGTGTGATATCAGAGCTTGACAAGACGTTTGCATTCAAGTTATCAAGAGATGGATTTCCAATGATAATACTCGTTCAACTTTTTTACTCGAGGGGCTTTTTTCATATGGATAATATTGGTAATTTTAATGTATGTGTATGACATTCTAAATGTTTTTGCACTATGTGTAACTATGAAATTAAGGCATCTAATCTTCTATGTAACTTTGTCTTTACAGCATTATTACATGTTGAAATGTATTGTGTTTATTAAATGTGACCTTACATACTTCTTCAAAATCTGAAATTATTCATTCAATATGGCAACTTGTATATTACAATTAAAAAGTTTTTATTGCATGAAATCATGTGAAACTCCATCTATAAGTGCCTGAATTTAATCAATAGCTTGTCCCAAGTATCCCAACTTGATTGGAAAGGATATTGGAATTTTTCATCATGAGTGTCTATGAATGCTCAATTTATGCATGGAATTCAGGATCAAGTTTGCTGAGACATTTTTTTTTATGCCTGACAACTAACTCATGATAAGATGCAAACAAAGGACTTGAACACACAACTGCTGGGGAAATATATGGATGCAGAGTTCTCTGTAAACAGGTGATCATTATGTTGCTAAAGATTCTTTGTAAGCACTTTTTGACTAATTAATTAGGACACATGAATGTGTCCTCCTGCAGACTTATTACAAAGGTTCGCTTTGAGATGTGTACCTTGTACAGTTCTGCACAAATATAAGTACTGTAATTTGAAGCAAATGATGAGCAATTTCTTGTCATCTAGCTCTAAATGCCTTGTGCATAGCTAACATTGTATATAACTGTATGCTGTTTTTCAGGATGTGTATG